AACACTACTGCCCACTACATCAGTGACAACTGAGGGTACGTTTTTAATCACTATTATGTTATATATGATAAATGCTTTTAAAAATACCAAAACTTACCAAAAAATACCACAATTTTGTAAGAAATTAGCTGCTGTTTATTTATTTTTTTATAAACAGTGAATTACCTTGTTTATACCTTTCAGTACCTACGACACTACCGCCGACAACGTCAATGACAACTAAAGGTACGTTATTAAATCATAAATATGTTTATATTATGCTAAAATTTATTAATAATATTTAAATGTTTTGAAAGTCATTCTTATGTACTTTGAAATGTGTTATAAGAAATTATTTACTGTTTATTAATTACATAAGTATTAAATAATTTTTATTCTATACAACCTGGAACTTATAACACTACTGTCGACAACTGTCAACAACGTCAGTGATAACTGAGGATACATAATTAATTCTATTTGTTAATGTCGACAACGTCAGTGATAACTGAGGATACATAATTAATTCTATTTGTTAATAGTTATCAATAATAACTAAACGTTTCGAACTTTATTGTTTTATATCTTTCAAGTATGTAAAGATAATTTAGATACTGTTTAATATTTACTTATGCAGTAAACCACATTTTTATACTTCTCAGTTCCTACAACACTACTGCCCACTACATCAGTGACAACTGAGGGTACGTTTTTAATCACTATTATGTTATATATGATAAATGCTTTTAAAAATACCAAAACGTTACTAATTTCATTATTTTATGCCTTTTAAATATGTTATAATTTATCAACAGTTTAATATTCACATAAAGCAGTAAGTAACATTTGTACAATTATAAAAACCTACAACAACAAAACTGCGACCACATCTCTATGAAGATAGGCTACGCTCTTAAACTTTTCAATATGTTATTTATGCTAAAATTTATCATCAATATTAAGTATTAAGTTTTTAATTTTCATTTTGTTATACCTGAAAGTTAAGTTAAAATTAATTAGCTACTGTTTAATCGAAACATTAGCAGTAATTCGCATGTTTTTATGCCTTTCAGTACCCACAACACTACCACAGACAACGTCAGTAACAACTGAGATTATGTAGTTAATGTTGTATATGCTATATGATTAAAGTTATTAATAATAACTAAATGTTTTTGATTACATTATTATATTGCTTTGAAATGTGTTATAATACATGAGTTAGAGTCTAATATTTACATATGCAGTAAATCACAATGTTTACACTTCTCGGCACCTACAACACTATCGCCCACTACATCAGTGACAACTGAGGGTACGTGCTTAACTCATTATTGTGTTATATATGGAATAGTCACGGTAAGATTTTAAAGGTGACCCGTCATGCGTGACGTCAGCTACGCGCAATTTTGCGTTTTTACATTATCGATCATATCAGCCTAACCAATTGCCCTTTCGAAATCGTATTAAGTGAGCATTAACTTCGGGTTAATGTTGAATGTACAGTACCAAAATTTTAAAATGCTTGAAATCACTTTTTGACAACTTTAGAGCACGTTTCAGGCCATTTTGAGCATTTAAAAGTTTTTTGAAATTTTCCACTACGGGCGCGCATTTTTACGCGTGCAGCACGTACGGAAGCTAGACATTACGTTTTTTCACATAGTCTGAGTTCCTGACATTGTTTTCACAAATTTCCATTCTTTTCGGTCATCTTATGGCCAATAGCAATGTCGTACGTGCGCATCAAACATAGGTATCTTTGCGCGAATTTGTGCCGATATACAGTGAAAATATGCTAAAATCAGGCCTATTGTTAGTCAGTTATATCTCCTTAGGATGAAAGGTGACCCCCAATTTTTATTACATTTTCTGAAAGCACATAGTTGTAAATATGATTTTATAGATCATAATGGCTGATCGGACATCATATTACCATCTGAATTTTTAAAGAAAGTGAATTTTAGCTATGACGTCATTTTTGAAAATTCTCATTTGAGCGTATCTCGCTTATCCTTGATCGGTCGTCTTCCAACTTTGATTATGTTATAGCTGAGACAATTATCTTTCATATATGACTTCGTTTTACATTTTGATGAAGTCAGTATTTTCAGAAAAATTGTTTTTTCTGAACCCCCACATCTTTCTTTTCTGAAAACGTTGATGAGCCCATATCATCTTAACCATTCGTCATTTCTGAATCATAAGTGAGCATAATCTTCAGGTAAAGGTTGAATGTCATGTACCTTAATTTTCTGTTCGCGCTTTTTAGTGTGCGTGCGTCAAAAATTATATATGCTTAAAACCATGAATATTTTTAATCAGTTATAGCTCCTTAGGATGAAAGGTAACCCCCAATTTTTATTACATATTCTGAAAGCACATGAGATGTAGATATGATTTTATAGATTATAATGGGCTGATTGGACATTGTGACGTCATCATATTGCCATTTGAATTAGGAAAAACTGGATTTTTATTTATGACGTCATTATTGTTATACTCGTTTGAACGTATCTCGCTTATTCTTGATTGATCGTCAATTTCTTGTGCCATTACCACAAATACGTTGTGACGTGCGTGTACGGTAAAATTTGGAAATTCTCAATATCACGTTTCAGGTCATTTTCAGTATCCCAAAACTTTCTATATTTACTTTTTATTTACGCACCGTACGCTCATTTCCACGCGCACTGCACGTACTGAAGCTGAGAATTACTTTTTGTTACATGTTTTGGGTTCCTGACACTGTATTCATAACAGGCGCGCCACATTTATCAAACTAGAATTCAGCTTAAATTCGTCTTAAGTACATTTTTTGCTTAAGTGAAATTTATTAATATTGCTTAGCTTAAAAATTACTTAAAATTAGAAAGATTGTACGTGGGCACAATCTAAGACGATTTTTAAGCCAAGATTTTGCTAAGGTTGGGTAATAAATCAGCTTAAGATATTTATTAGGAAAATCTTAACTTTTTTGACTTAAGACATTTGCTAAACTGAGATTGATAAACCCCGGCTCACAAGTAAAATTTTTGAGCCATTAACATTTGCACAGGTATCAAGACGTCCACGTATGCACGCGTAAATCTTTTCAAATGTTTAATATTACACTTTAAAAAAAAACTAACTAGAGCATATTTTAGACCATTTTGAGCATTTAAAAATATTTCAACCCGCACCGCTCGCGCTTCCTGAAGGTCAAAGTTCGGCGGATCACCAAACTCGTCCTCAGTGACGAGTTCAAATCTAGATTTTCTTATTCTTCTTTCTTTCTCCCCTTTTTTGTTCGCAAGATATCTGTTCGCAAGGATATTATTAATAAGTTATTTATGCTAATATTTATTAATATCAACTAAAAGTTATTGAATTTCATTGTTTTATACCTACAAAATAGGTTAAAATAAATTAGCTACTGTTTAATCGAAACATTACCAGTAATTTGCATGTTTTTATAACTTCCAGTACCTACATGCTATATGTTTAATGTTATTGATAATATCTAAATATTTTTGATTTCATTATTATATTGCTTTGAAATGTGTTATAATACATGAGCTCCAGTCTAATATATACATATGCAGTAAATCCCATTGTTTACACTTCTCAGCACCTACAACACTATCGACCACTACATCGGTGACAACTGAGGGTACGTTCTTAACTCATTATTATGTTTTAAATGCTAAAAGTTATCAATAACAACTAAAAATTTCGATTTTTTTTTAAAAATTTATACCTTTGAATTATGTTATGCTTTTGAATTACGTTCTTAACTCATTATTATGTTATAAATGCTAAAAGTTATCAATAACAACTAAAAATTTCGATTTTCATTGATTTATACCTTTGAATTATGTTATTGATAATGTCTAAATATTTTTGAATACATTATTATATTGCTTTGAAATTTGTTATAATACATGAGCTCCAGTCTAATATTTACATATGCAGTAAATTCCATTGTTTACACTTCTCAGCACCTACAACACTATCGACCACTACATCGGTGACAACTGAGGGTAGGTTATTAACTTATAAATGTGCTTATTATGCTAAAACTCATTAATAATAACTAAATGTTTTGAATTTCATTGTTATATGCTTTGAAATATTTTACAATAAATTAGTTACTGTTTATAATTTACATACATACTAAGTAATTTTTTAAAATATTTCCCAGCACTACCGCCGACAACGTCAGTGGCAACTGAGGTTGCGTACTTAATGTTGTAAAAATGCTTAAGTTTATTAATAATAACTAAATGTTTTTGATTACATTATTATATTGCTATGAAACTTGTTATAGTACATGAGCTACTGTTTAATAATTTCATATGCATTAAATCCCATTATTTACACTTCTCAACACCTACAACACTACCGCCCACTACATCAGTGGCAACTGAGGATACATAATTAATTCATTAATACATTATATTTGCTAAAAGTTATCAATAATATCTAACCGTTTCGAACTTTATTGCTATATCTCTTTCAAATATGTGAAGATAAATAAGTTCAGTACTGTTTAATATTTACGTATGCAGTAAATCACATTTTATACTTCTCAGTACCTTCAACACTACAGCCCACTACATCAGTGACAACTGAGGGTACGTTGTTAACTCTTTATTATGTTATATATGATAAATGTGATAAAAATAGAAAAAAAAATGCTAATTCCATGGTGTTATGCCTTTTAAGTATGGTATGTTATAATTTAGCAACAGTTTAATATTCACATATGAAAGTAAATAACATTTGTATTATTCTAAGAACCTACAACAACAGCACCGCGACATCTTTAAGAAGATAGGGTACCTTCTTTAACTTATTAATATGTTATTTATGCTAAAAGTTATCAATATCAACTAAAAGTTATTACATTTTATTTTTTTATACCTTAAAAATAGGTTAAAATAAATTAGCTACTGTTTAATCTATATATAATATTAGCAGTAATTCGCATGTTTTTATGCCTTTCAGTACCTACAACACTTCCGCCGACAACGATAGTAACAACTGAGGGTACGTACTTAATGTTATATATGCATAAAGTCATTAATAATAAATGAATGTTTTTGATTACATTATTATATTGCTTTGAAATGTGTTATAATACATGCGCTACAATCTAATATTTACATATTTATGCAGTAAATAACATTGATAATACTTTTCAGTACCTAGACCACTACATCAGTGAAAACTCATTATTATGTTATATATTATAAAAGTTATCAATAAAAACTAAAAATTTCGATTTTCATTGAATTATACCTTGGAATTATGTTATAAGAAATTAGCTACTGTTTAATTTTTTCTATAAGTAGTGAATCACATTTTGTTTTTACCTTTCAGTACCTACGACACTACCGCCGACAACGTCAGTGACAACTGAGTGTACGTTATGAAATCATAAATATGTTTAAATTATTCTAAAAGTGATTAATAATAACTGAATGTTTTGAATTTCATTGTTATAGATTTGAAATGTTTTACAATAAATTAGTTACTGTTTATTAATTATTTATATACGTACTAAATAAATTTCTTTTTATATTCTTCAGTACCTACCACACTACCTTCGACAACGTCATTAACAACTGAGGGTACGTACTTATGCTTAAGGTTATTAATAATAACTACATTTTTTGATTACATTAATTTATTGCTATGAAATGTGGTATAATGCATGAGCTACTGATTAATATTTGCATATACAGTAAATCCCATTATTTACAATTCTCAGCACCTACAACACTACCTCCCACTATATCAGTGACAACTGAGGGTACGTTCTTAATTCAGTATTATGTTATATATGCCAAAATTTAACAATAACAATTAAACATTTCAATTTTTGTTGATTTATTTTTCTATAAGCAGTGAATCACATTTGTTTATCTTTCAGAACCTACGACACTACGAATAACAACTGAGGGTACGTTGTTAAATCATAGATATGTTTATAATATTCTGAAACTTTTTAATGATAACTAAATGTTTTGAGCTTCATTGTTATATACTTTGAAATGTGTTAAAATAAATTAGTTACTGTTTATTAATTACATACGTAGTAAATGATTTTTGTTTTATGTTTCTCAGAACATACAACACTATCGCCGACAACGTTAGTGACAACTGAGGGTACGTAATTAACCCATTAATACGTTATGCTAAAAGTTATCAATAGTAACTGACCATTTCGAACTTCTTTGCTATATACCTTTCAAATATGTTATGATAGATTAGCTACTGTCGTAAACTTGCTTCCTGGGAAGCATTTCATTTTAGGCAATTTTAATTTGCATTTTGACAAACCAACTAAGTCTGATGTTGCACAAGCTGTAACAACTCTTTCATCCCATAACTTTGTTCGAGTTGTTCCTTTTCCTACCCATGAGCTTGGTCGTATTCTTGATCCAATCATTATTCATTCTGAAGAGAAATCAGTCAAAACCATCCAGGACAATAACCACCCGGACGAAAACTACCGGTACTCAAAATGGAATATACCATTGTTAAAGTGGGATAGACAATGTTGGGTGGCCTGTTTTTATCAGCTTTACAATAGGATAGTTTACACTGTGACTTGCTATATTATACGCCTTTAATTCATTCATATGTTTTGACAACATGTATATTAATAATCATTGTAGATTTCAGTAATCACTGTGCTTAGTTTGCCCTTTTAATGATTTCAATACAACAATTAACTTCAAAGCTTTATGGAAATTCAAATGTAAAATTTGTACTGAAGTTTTAATACATTCAATAATGTTTTTATCTTTGTAGTATAGGTATTTCCCTAATATTTTAGTATTTTAAATTTATTTTATTTCTAAAAAGACTTATCCCTACTTCCATTAAAAATTATTTTCAATTAAATACTTCCCTTTAATAACAATACTTTAAATGTAAAAAGTCATCAATTAATGAATGTAGGTTAATAAGATCTTACTATTTTATCTTTTTTTCTAGTTTGATTGAATTGTAGTGAAACCAGTATATTTCTATAACAATCTAATTAAAACAGAATATTTTATTAAACAGATTATTTGAGTTATGTTATAAAAAACTAGCTACTGTTTATATTTACAGTAGATTGATTACTATTATTATATACATGGGGCTCCCTTCTCGGGGAATGGGCGTGCTCGTCCCTCCGTTCGCAGCTGGGGAACTCTATCTGGTACCCACGGGATATTGTCTGCATTGTTTAGCTGTCTGGAGACAGCCGTTCCCATTCGTGGGCAAAAAACATCAGCCTCCTCCTACCGGCCTGGCTCCTACAGAGGAACCAGGTGCCCACCATGTATATCAGCAACGGGGCCCGCCCCTCCGCCGCCGCCGTTGCTTTACCTTGTCGGCTGGAGGACCAGCCCGAGCGAATTGCTGATTGGTGACAGGAACAGGAGCAGAAGGGACAGCGCCACAGGATATAGCAAAGGGAGGGAATGCGACGCTCAGCGTACGCCCAGCGCTGGGAACGCACCGAAAACGACGATCACGACGCGGGAACTTAACCCTGGTCTGACTCCGCGCTTCCAACTCTAGCCCAGGCCTCTTCTTTGGCAGAAAACTAGCGAAAGAAGACATCCTCTGCCCGAAAAGAGGAGCAGACCAAAACCCGGTCAAAAAGACAAAAACTGCCGCACCAGCAGCATGGGCAATAGAACTGAACTGATCAGAATTAAGGGCAATACCCGCCCGAAGGAAAGCAATGGCATCAGGGACAAGAGGTGGGCTCGCGTCGGCATCAGACAAGAAAGACAAGGCAAAGCCAGCCCCATTCACGGCGCGAATGCCCTCCCAAGCCGTGCGGTCCATAAATGACAAAGCCTCCTCGGGCGCCCTGTGCTTCTGATTTTCCCGCAATCTGCCCCTGGCAGCGCGAGGAATAGGCGGTGCCTGAATATACAGCTTGAAATGGTCCTCGGGGACCGGGAAAGCGGCCGTAAAACGCCGAGGAGCAGCAACCGGGTTAGACTTCGCTTGCGAGTTCAACCGAAGAATGAGGTTTATGTGGAGACCCACAACGGGAACTGGGTGGGCAGGATGCACAGGAGCTGGCGGCCCCCACACGCCTGCCCCTAAAGCACCATGGGACCCCTAAATGTTTCAAGAATGGCCGGCAACGAGCTAGAAAAGATCAGCACCGAGAATTAACTCCTCAGTCTTCAAATCAAGAAGCTCGGTCGAGAGTCGTCCATAGGCGTCTATTCCCCACATAGACCTCCTCCCCAGTTATATGTGATTAAATTTACGATTTTCTACCCGTAACGTGGGTTTAAATGCTCCATTGTTCGAGTTTATAGTCTATAACCAGTTTATAAAGGATTGTATTCTGCAAAAAAGTGAGAAATTCATTAAATATGAGCCGAGGTTGTCTGAATAAAATTGTAGGGCCTTGAGCATTGATTACTGCATGATGGCGGCCGCTCCCACCGTGGAGGAAAACAATGAAACCGCTGTTAGGTCTGGTTCAAGTCAGTCACATGTGAACACCGGCTATCTTTATGCGATTGACAACGATCATATATTCAGAGCTGTTTCATGTTCATGGATGAGTATTTTCATGTTCATGGTAGAGTCAATAATCACTCCAACATTACGAACATTACGCTTTATCAGTGGCGTAACAGGCTGTTGGGGGGCCCTAAAAAGTAACCTATGAGAAAAAACAGTTTCAATGGAATTTTGAGACTAACAATTTTACTAAAATAGCCGCAGTGAGGGTAGCCTTATATCCGAACGCTTAGAAACTGAATGCACACCACATAAAATGTTTTGCACAAGAAAGGAGCTACATGGTTCAGGAAAACCGGCAAGTTTGTGGATAAACGCAATCCTGGAAATAGTTAAGAAATGGTTTTTGGTGCATATCACGTGCTCTGCATATGCGCGACAAAATGACAAATTGTAGCTGTGGAAATGTGAAGATGAATTGGTTTCCTAACCTAACCGTACGCTTTTATAGTTGCTGGAGCCAACGATGAACAGATGAGCAATGTAGCTTCTCTGCTAAGTGCCATGTCAGTCATTGTAGAACACTAAAAATCTGTGAAATCGATTAAATACAAATGCATTGTGCAGAAATTTCAATAGGAGGTTTATGGACAGACAGGATGAGCTCTAACCTTTTTGTAATTTTTTTCCCGAGACAGATGGACTGCTAAAACATTGTCAATCCCGGACTTTGGTGCGCTCGGAATTGAATATTAGACCAAAGGCACACACAAACTAGTCACTGGATACGTCGTAAAAGAAGTTTGTCCTTAGAAATGTTTTGTTTATCATTGAAACTACCGCCTCATTATAGCAGTGAAACAGAATTCGGCGATTAGCAAGTTCAGCGCCCACATACTTCATTCGCAATAACAGGGAAAAAACACGGCAACAGATAAATCATTTTAGTTAGACGGCTACCCGATAAGAAACCCCTTACTACTGAATACCGCAGCGCATCCTATCGATCCCACAGAATTTGTGAACAAACGTAATGTAGAAAAATGATACCAGGTCTCCTTCAGCATCAAAGCCTTACCTTTGAAAGTTTCCAGAAAAGACAACCATAGACGAAGATCGTCCATAACCTCGAGAGTTATGAACGAATAAGATGAGACAGATGCCTTGCCAATGGTAGCAGAGTTATCATAGGAAAGCCCGCCCAGGCAGGAATACGCTACATACGCAGTTAAGAAGACCGATCATTGCATGTCACGCAGCGTTACTTTTTTCCTTTCAAAAATTCGTTAATTCTGAACACCGTTTTCTCAATCCAGCACGACAGTAGACGACATTCCGTTGACACGCAGTCGATCTCTATCCCGTATATTGTAATGACCGATCTTACCACAAAGAAATAGAAAACAATTAAGCGCTGTTTGAAAAGTGTCCGAGTGTGGCGTAAATATGAAAAAGAAATCATCGAAAATGTGGGAAACATCGGCTATCTGGAACGTTACCTTCATTACTATCTGGAACGTTACCTTCATTACGTAGACTAAAGCTGTGCTGAAGGACTCGAAGATGTTACAATAACGACTTGCACCTATCGGTAAACAACGGTCAATAAAAATATTTTCCCGCCTTTGAAAAGCCCAACAAATAGTACCGTAATCATCGGGATGAATTGGAATAATTCTAAAGTCATCCTCTATGTCGGTTTTTGACATTAGGGAACCCGTTCTTCAAGTCTAAACTAATTACATTATCAATTTTGTCGTAAGTTACATGAGAAGCATACTCTGTAATACCCCGGGGATACGAAAGTTCTTGAATTATCCGAAATTTCCCGGTTTCTACTTTAAGGACTCCTAACGGGGAAGCGACAAACTTTTTAAATTGGCGGGGGTGGGGTGTTTAAAAGGGCCGGCTACTCTTCCGATACTAAACCCTTTCGATATAAATTGCGGGTAACACCTGAAACAGGAGGGTGGGAGCAAAATATACGAAACCCACATGTAAATCCCTCGATTATATCTGAAAATCCACTTGGATTATAACCTAAAAGAAACGTCTGAGCTCACTTACTGTGACTGGCGTTGGAAGGGGCATTGGGTGTATACCGACGTGGCGCACTTGTTGGAGTGTAAAGGTGGGCTTTTTCCTATTACACACTGTTTTAGTGTAGGGGAACCGACAGTCGGCACAGATATGGGCGCAGATACATTTGCTGACCTGGCAAGGTTTCCCGGCATTAAATTTGAAGCCCTTGCCGTTGGTCACGAGAATTATTTTGCCCCTAAGTGTGCAGAATGTCCCAACGAGGCCAGCTTTAACAAAAGCTCTGAAAGTAGCACGTCCCGCTTTAATGGGTTGCCCTGCCTGGCTTTCCTAAAACCCTCATCATGTGCCCGCCAATTGACATTATCAAGAATTAACGAATTCCATAGTTATATTTTTCAATGTAAATGGACATATAAATAGTGACTATCCACTCAGTTGTATTAAGCAATTTCTCCCTACTGTTGTCGCTATCGACTTTCAATAGCTTATCTACAATTGTCAGGGAGACATTATTTGTCTCAACGTCATTACTGACAAGCGCAGGGAAATCGACGTTCGACCAAATTTCGTTTTTGATTGCCATGGTCACACTGTTGCCCGGTGCTATTGAGTCTGCCATGGTAAGTTGATTACTA